AGTAGGTCTCGGGTAGATTATGTTGCAGACTCTCAAGTTTTTTGTTTTTGTGCGACAGGCAAGCTATTTCTCTTTTTACAATCTAGATGATAAAACACTGCATTCTGTCGGCAGCGATAGAACACAGATTTAACGAATAGAAACTTGAGCTTGGAACTTTCCTCTAATTACTATTTTGGAATTTATAACGTGTTACATTACTCCGGTCCTAAAAAAGAAACTAAAGTACAGTAACTCGTTACTGCCCGTGCCCAACACTGGTGAGGAACCAATACAATCTGTTCAATTTGTCCTATTGTCATAGAGGTAGAATTTACATGCTGAACATAAAATATTCCTAATATGTGACAAACATCATATGTTTTAGGGAAATTCAAGGAAAGACATGAAAAGTTGAAAATTTGAAGAAATTTTTAAGTACCTCACTACTTCCAAAAGAGGAAACTTCCAGAGAATGACTTCAATTAAGTTTTTTCTCTTTGTCGCCATCTCTGGTCGAAATTTGCAATTGCAGTTATTTGTGGAATTATCAACTTTAGATAACAGAAAATAAGAAGGATTTGTTGAATTGCAGCATTGTTATAATTACAGCAGAAATGCCAGAGAAAAGAACTTTAATATACATCCAATACGTGGGGCCTATATTTCAAAAAGCTGACAAGCGCTGCACTATTTGATTTCACTAAATAATTCTTGAGGCATCTTAATTTTTAACAACAGCATGTTTTACAAGTTTGCATAAAACCTGTACTAAAACATGTCGACTCTTATCAGTCAACAAAAACATAATTCTACGTCAATGAAATTCTGCATTAGCCTGGCAATCCAGACCTATGTCAAGATTTTAGGTCTGGGAACTCACAATTGGCATGCCTAAATCCGAGGGGCGGGATAAACAGTTGTCTTTCAACAGCGTTTTCCATAGACTGCAAAAAAAGTGTTTTTCCTCCAGCGGAGCTAGTTGACATTAAATTTCGCCGTATCCGGTCGTCAAAACTCTGAACACATCTTCCTTTTTTATGAACGACTTAAGTGACGTTCCCTTAACTCCAAGTCATCCAAAGTCGCGGCCAAAGCCGATTCGAAAGACCGCTATTCGCCAGCAGCATCTTGTTTGTTTTCAAGTAGCAGGGAAATCACGTGGAACCGTCACAACTCTGCTGTCATTATGTTAAGCCCGCCCACCAACTCTATACACGATGTGATTGGCCTGACCAGAGTTTGGTTTTTCCAACTCGCAAGCCAACGGAGAGTTGCTACTGTAGACCACACTGACTGCAAAATCATTTTTTCTGCCGCTAGGGTGCGTCTAGATTTCTAGGCTAATTCGGCATCAGAGCAACATTAAACTCTGCAATAGTAAATTAGTGTGGGACTTGTTTTCTGAGTCTGTGCATAAGAATTCCCCAAAAATATGAAGTTCATGGAATTTATAATCTTGGTCGTTGGCCTTATTTAAGATGGTGTAAAATAACATTTATTCAGGCGTTTTGTCTTTGGCTGTAAAATGTATCGACCACCTGTGTGTGTTTAAACAGGTGTAAACCAATGTTTTCCAATGGGTGGGTAACAGATATGTTCTGCTGGCCTGTTCTGGTCTCAGAGAGTATGGGAAAACATGCTACGTGAAAATAATAGAATTCAATGAGGGTATTATTTAATAATAATATAAAAGTCAACCTTGCTTTGAGGACATTTTAGTTTACTCTCGTACGGTAAAAGGTTTTGAAATCGTATCTGCTTGCCACTTTACATCTAATGTATAATCTGATACAAAGAAGCAAAATCAGAGTTTTATGGTATAGATGTCACTGCAGATGTGCCCCTGTTCCATTTTTGAAGGATTGCAGCCTGGCATGGCAATCATCTGCATCTTTTCCCCTGCATATGCTTTTAAATATAAGAATTAATAACTTTTTTAATAACAAAATTTTGAAATTTAGTGGATTAACCCAGAATAGTTACATAAACAATTGGTGAATCATACTGTAAGCGCTGTACTTCTCTCACATCGATCTGCTCTAAGAAACAGTATAAGCACAAAAAACATCTCTCTCTCTCTCGCTCTCTCTCTTTCTAACGTCGTTTACTCAAGATTATGTGCTAATTTCCTCTTTACGTTCATACACACTTCCACTCTGCTGAACACTGACTGCTTGTTAGCGCAAATCCCTCATCTGCATTCACACACGCAAACACAAACACGCACACACAGACAGACACACACACACACACACACAGGTATTCAGAATATTCCAGCAGAATATGTGTCAAAATGTGCGTGTGAAAGACAGATCCCCCTCGACTCCTCCCCTCCTTCTGTTCTACTCTTCTCCCATCTCTCTTTTCCCATCAGGACCCCGGCGAAGGCACGCAGTGCTATTTTTAGCATACTGGTGCTTTTTTATCAGTCAGTGTCTATTTGTGGCTCAAAAGAACTACAGAGGGCTTCCTAGCTGCTGACGTAAGCAGTGCTGTGCTGCAGAGGCGTACAGGACAGGGAGAGAGGGAGAGAGAGAGAGAGAGAGAGAGAGAGAGAGAGAGGGGGGAGAACAAAGAAATGAGGAAAAGAGAGGGGGTGTAGTACGGAAAAATGGCAGGATGAAGAGACATGGAAGGATGGGGAGATAGAAATGAGCATAAAACGGTGAGATTGCAATGGTGCATTTGCAATGGGTCTCAGGAGAATAGAGCGGTTCTATTTGGAGGCTGGTGATTTAAGAGCAGGTCTTGTGTGACAGGCGCGTGTGTGTCTCCCTCGTGCTGTTATAATAGTGGGCTGCATGGGGAGAGCTAGTCGGAGAGAATAAGGAGCCCCTCAAGAGAAAAGCAGGATTAGTAGAGGCATGCCAGAACCAAGCAAACTCCTGGGGATCTCGTTCACACACGCACTCAGATCATGATGATCACATCACAACATGGACGTACATAAGGCATACTGAGGCATGCACATTTATTATAGACTGTCTGAAACTCCCTTGTTTAGTTAGTCTATCTTTTAGTAAGAAGAATGCAACTTTTATAAACCATGTCGTCACATTACGGCATAATCTGATTATCTAAAATGTTTAATTCATGTGATAAAGAATCCTGGATCAAAACGTTTTTAATGTATATGAATTTTGATATATGAATTTGATGCTTTCAACTGATCTGTCAGAGGATTTTACATATATTTTCAAAGAACTGCAAATTAATACGACTAATTTTGATTCGTCAGAATAATTGGCTTAGACTATAAGCTTAATACATTCGTGAAAAAGACTATAATGGTCAAAGTCCTTTTCCATTTTGCAATGCATAGTCCTATCTAATCACATTCAGTTTAACTCGGGTAACATAGTTGCGTGTAGTATTCTTTCAAACATTTGGGTTCAGTATGGCTAAAAATGAATAACACTTGTTCAGAAAGGGTGCATTAAATTGATCAAAAGTAACAGTAACAGGGGGTTTGGAATGTTTGTTTGTTTTTTTATTCCGTGGTTGTAGTTCCTTATTTCGCTACTTCAAATATTATTCACTGTATTACGACTACAAAATAGACCAACATGCGACAGCCAATCAGCTTTGAGGTTTCGTGTTATTAGCGCGTGTCTCAGATACCAGGCAGACATAAAACAGATTTTATTCAGCTATGGGGAAGTGTAAGTGTAGCGATACTTGACATGAAAAATCTGAATTTCGTTCTTGGTTAAAGCCAGTTGCAAACAACGTATTTAAAGCCTACTGCTTATGCAACAAAGCTATTAAATTGGGAATGTTGGGTGTACGGGCGCTGTAGTCACATGCAAAAAGTGATAAACCTCTAACTGCTGTGAAGGGTCTCCAGCAAACAACAGCCATCAGCCAGTTCTTGCAAGTATCTGGCGGCTCCTGCACTAACGTTACTTTTACACTGCCTAGGCGAGACCCAACTTGCTCAAATAGCTCCACAACTCCCGCAATCGACCTCCGTGTTGCTTTTGGATCACAGCTAAAAGTGCTCTGGGTTCTCCACATGGTGACAAGACACCAGTCATACATTGTTTCAAACTATGTTTTCGCACTCTGACATATCAAAATCCTTCAGGTGCAGGAAAGATAAAACAGCCTACATTACACACTTTGGAATAGGGGATTTTATAAAAACAGAAACAGAACTAATTTCCAAAATCTCGGGTCCGTTCGATTTTCGATGAATGTTCAGTTTGAATAAATTAAATTACTTTGCAAGTAATTTTGAGACTCTGCGTTTCCTTTGTACATTTTTTTAATGTCGTGATTACAGGTCTTAAAATTTATCCATAATAGTCTTAAAAAGGTCTTAAAAAGTCTTAAATTAAATTAAAGTAAAGAACCATTTTAATGTTAATTTTATATTTCAAATAAATGCTGTTCTTTTAAACTTTCTATTCATCAAAGAATCCTAAAAAAAAGTTAGTTTCCACAAAAATATTAAGCTCGACAACTTTCAATATTGATAATACATGTTTCTTGAGCAAAAAAAAAATCCCATATTAAAATGATTTTTAAAAGTCTTTTTTGCCAACATACCTCCATACAATGCCTGACAACGCATCATTCACAGGTTTTGGATATATTCATTACCACATACACCAATCTCACACACACAAAATCAGCTGCCAAATCAGATGTCAAATCGAGTGTTTCATTTCTCACTCCTCATGCACCTGACAGCAACAAGACCATATGCTCTTCATCAATCCACCATCACCCTTTAAATACACGCACTTAAACGGCATCAGCTGTTTATACTCTTCCACTCCCTAGTTTAACTAAGGTCATCTTTGTGTGCATTTATGGAGCAGACCAGAGGCTTCCCCGTCTCTGTCTCTCTCTGCCATTATCAAAGGTCCAGTGACATCAGATCAGCATGGAGCAGAAGCAGCCAGGCTATGAGTCACACATAAACACGTATCCTCTCTCACACACACACACACACACAGTATGTTTCTCTAGGGATGGCAAATGCTTATGACTGATCAAATGCGATCACTTACCTGCACCAAGAATATGATGAGGAAGTAAAAATTAGCAATTCTTCTAAACTGCTCGAATAGGTTCTTTGGCAGGAAGTTCCAAACGGTGTACTGAGGAAGTGAGAAAAATAAAACAAAGTTAAAATGTAACAAGTTAAAAACCAACAAGCTGTCAATCAATAACTATAATCATTTAAAGTTAAAAAAAAAATTAAAGGGTTATTTTCCTCAGAAATGAAAACTGAGCATTTAATCATTTAATCATCTTCACACAAAGCTATTGTTTGGCTTCAGAAGACTTTTAATATAGTGCAATAAAAATATAGCAATTTCTCCACTTCTCTTTTTAGAAATAGACACAACAGCAGAAGTGCACTAGTTTATTAATACTCAAAACTAAATTTAAGGTCGAAGCTAATACAAGCATATAAAAGAAAGTGTTTTAAATTTTGTTTTTGTGAAGCGTTATATTTCAAAGACAATGTTTTAGAGTAAAACATGGAATACATTTGCTTGAATTTCAAATACCCAAAAAGCCAATTACTCTGCAATACAACTCATAAATGCAAATACTGACTGGATAATGTTGAAGGGGAGACAGAGAAAGCGAGACAGAAAAATAACTGGAATGTGGATAGCTATTTCCATCTAATATAGCCATGACGGCTAAATAATGGATCGCCAAGAGTGAGGAAAGTGAGGAAGGGCAGATTGAGGCACCTGCAATAAGATAAAAGGGAATACATCCTCATTTATAACAGAGCAGATGTTATTCTGAGGTGAACTCAAGAAGATGTGGCAGGTCTGGACATCTTTTAAAGGAAAAATTGGATCCAAGGGATTTAGAGTGGGAAGATGCAAAGCAGATGCATAGAGAAGTGTAAACATTGCAGTGCAGGTAATTAAAGTGTGTTTAGAGTCTCATGCCAGAGAAAAATTGATCACCGTACACCACAACACGGCCACAGGTCTGATAAATCTATTACTTCTTACTCCCTTGTTTCTTCCTTTCGTATCTTAAAACACTCCTCATCTATCGACTAAACGAGGAGATTCAGGAAGTCCCACAAGATTAAGGGGGCCAGCAGAGTCAACCACCATCAACACTTGAACTTTAATTGCAACTATGTATTTATCAGCCGGATCTCAAGCACCGCTCTGACAGGCAAATTAGGGTGTTTCATTGGGTGCAAGGGGATGGTAAGATTTACAGCAGTTTGTGAATAGCGTCATAATGAACGTATAGAGAGGGAAAAAGAGAAAATGAAAAGAATGTAGTCTGATCCCAGGCGAAGTAGGGGGGTTCCAACAGTCTCTTCACACCTGGAGGAACAGGTGGCTGAACACCAGGCCTTGAGAGAATCACGCTTCAGCCATACTCTCAACATGCTGCTGTTACCACACATCTCTTATGTGTTAACGCTGTGCTGCAGTTGCCATGGCATTAAACAACACTTGCTAATTACGGGCTAGGAAAAAAAAAAATTACAAACAGGCTCTTGTAGGGAACAAAACCCCTAATGCTGTTATCCTGTAAAATCTGATTACACTGCGGCGAGCTTAAGTACAGCCCAGCTCATGCTTTCATATTCGTGACAAGGTGTGATATAACAAATACCAGAAGTTACCTTGGAGGACACAATCCTATTGTCACAGAATTTGGAGGGGATGAAGGCCTCTGTGTCCAGACATGGCCGATGTCCTACATAGATTGTCCTGCTGTCCACTCGCTTCTCATCTCCTCCACACTACAGAGACACATGGGGAAAAAGAAAGAGAGAGAGGTCATTTACATGAAAGTTAACCCTTTAAGACTAACAGAGCATTGGTGCTCTGTTTAAAAGCCGATAGAAACTGAAACCAAATGGCTAGCTCGATAATTCTTTGTGCCTACAAAACCAGACACGTTACAAGTTCAGATCAAGCCTCCTACATACTCCTGTTGTGTTGTTTTAACCCTCTAATGAGTCTGTACAAATTGCATAATATGCGTTTCCAACAAAAACAGTAATACGCATTGCACGTCTTTGCACAAGTTCTATAGATTTGCATTTGAGTTACGTCTTTTGATGGGTCATAAAACATTCTGCGCACTATGACCCCAGGGGTTTGTCGCATGTTGTGACGTCACAAGCTGCAACATTTGTCTCCCATTTGCTGCCATATGAAAATGCTCAAAACTGCAGCACAGCATGTAAAAATACTAAGATGTACTCTGGCGGAATGGGCTCTATGCTCCGGTGAAGGTGTAAGGATGCTCGATAACTTCCGCCGATCGTAGAGTCCAATGCAATACCGAGAATTTATAGTGAATTTTATAGTCGATGGTTATACTAAAGAAACATTGGTCACAAAAAGAGATAAAACAGACACCCCTCGTTGTGTTTATGCTTCTTTTTAAAATTATATTAAATAAACATAACTATATATAAAATTACAAGTACGTTTCATTTCAAAGACGGGAGGACAGTAAATTTTGAAGACTCTGCCATAATCCCGTTTTCCTCGGTTTTCCTCCGCTTTAATCTCCACAACCGGAAATGACGAGCATCCTTGCGTCAAATGCGGAATTTATGCGTTCATATAGCCCATTGAGCTTTCACGACCATTCACCGGCCCCTATCCCAAAACGCCATTGTACAATCACACATGATTGTGAGCAGGTCCGTCAAACATTGACTCAAAGCAAGATGGTGAAGCGGTGCGCCCATGGCGTTTGTAAATTGGACGCTAGGTATCCCATGCGATTGTCTGGAGGAGTTGTGTTCTTTCCGTTTCCAAAGCCGAAAACACAACGTGAGTGGTGCCTACAATGGATAAATCAGTGTGGACAGCCCAAACTCCCAGTTAAATGTGTCAAACATGGTTAATTGGTGGTAAAAACATGGCGAGATTAGTCACAGAAACATGGAGAAAGTAGATCAAGTGGATCCACAAAGGAATTACGTTTTCTAAAGGGTTGACAATCATGTTAACATGATATTTTTAGGGGAAATGAGCAGCAGTCAACCAGCAGTGCAGCATCCGTAGTTTAGCACGTTCGCAACCGGGAAAGCATGAAGCTTACTTGCCAACATCAGTTCATGTATCAATATCGTAACGAATAGAAATAACCTTTAATAATGTATGGTTATCTGCATCTTCCCGTCTCTTATGTATAATTACTTTTTAAACACGACAATCGCATTCAGCGGCTGCCGTGGTAATGAACAACTGCTTGTTAAAGCGAATGTATAATCCTGTATCTGAGGTAAAATTACTAAATATGCAGCGCAAGTCACATATTTCTAACTCCAAACAATTAGCCACAGAACCAGCTAATAAAATCTTCTTAAAGGCTGTGCTGGTTGCATTTGAGGTACCGGTCATGGGGTTTCTCAGATTTCGCTTGAGCCTCGATAGTATTCGTGTCTCCTTCATTACGTATTTTTATATTTTGAATATATTCCTTCACTGCATACTGTAACCCATTTTGCCTTGATCTGGAGGATATCGCTGAGGTATTGCTCCAAAAAAGGTCACTGACATGCATGGGTGTTCCCTCTTTTACCCATCATGGCAATCTGTCGCGCTGCTCATGTTTGATGGGCATAATAACAATAACTAGGGGGCGTGGCTTTTGCGAACAGTCACTTGTTCTATGGCAGGCCGTAGAGGGTTAAAAGTGACAAGTCTGACACAGAGACATTAGCTGAAAGCAATGGCAAAATTCTGACCAATGTCAAACAGGAAACGCGTTAAAAAAATAAAAAATATATAAAAATTGAAACTACTTCAGAAACATCTTAGATGCCCTTGAGGTAAGATAAAACATACCAAAAATGTATTTCAAAGTGAACTTTCCCTTTAATGAACAGGACAGTTTTTCCTGTACTGCTATTCAGCAGAGACAATTCAAAGATGCTGAATCTACTGCATCACAGCAAAATAATTTTTATTTTTTTTATCCGAGTTGTGAGTTTGAAGTCCGAGCTGAACATAAGACAAAAAGAGTGGGTACCGCAAAATAATATAACGATAATATACAGACAGCATGTCTGTTTGTGTGAGAACAAGGTTAAAGATACATATTTATTGTTTTATGTAATATCCCATTATTTTTAAATAAACTATCATACTAAACATCAAAATGTGTTAAACAATATATAGCATGTTTTGTTTAGTATGTACTTAGGACCAGTTATGTTGTGTGTGGCAGAGGTTTGAGCCCACCCACTGAAAATGTCCCTAGGAAACACTGAGACAGGTCTGTGTTTCCTCTGTGGTCAGGTTCGTGACCCGGGACATTCTTGCAGCATGAAAAGGGCAACAAGTTGACTCAGAGCGGTGTAAGCATTGGATTGCCGGAGGACACATTGGCACAAAGCACACACAGTGACGGACAGCCAGGAAACTCTACACTGCTAAGCTACAGAAAAAAGTAGCTAACTGCATTTAAGGTACTTAAATGGGAATATCTTTTTTAAATATAAAACCTACCCGCTGATGTTATTTAGGGGCTAGAAACAATGATGTTTTTTAAATGAACAAAAAAACTCAATAAGGTTGAAAACACATTTGACATCATTCAATTAAGATGCAGCTATAAAATTAGAATATGCCCTACTTTATATAACTGAGTGGAAAACTGGTTTCGTATAGATTCACAGATTTCATTTGTGTTCGAAAAAAACAGATTCACTTGAAATGGACTTTCCAAAGCAACATGGAAAGAGAAGACCATTTAGAACTCAATTAACTGCAATGAATCTATAGATGACAAAATGATTCACAAACAAGTGCTATACATCAGAACAGTTTAGGACAAAACGAGTCACTGGAATAAATCTAGACTTTGCAATGCAACAAATGAGAGAGAAAACTGTTTCATGCCAAATAATTTACTAGAATAAATCAGGACTTTCCAGTGCTACACATGAGAGAAAGAACAGTTCAGGACAAAACAACTGACAAGAATGAATCTGGACTTTCCAGTGCTAAACATAAAAGATAGGGCAGTTGCTTTTTAAAAATCTACATTTAGTTAGTCACACCCCAGCACTGCTATATCTGTCTCTGAGGGTTTTGATGAAGATAACACACATGGTCATCACATCTCAGAAGGCTTTCAGCATCACACTTCAACCACACCCACCGCCCACTCTTTCTCACCCTCCCTCCCAGTGTTCCCCGGGACAGTGCAAGCAGCAGCAGCACTATAACTGTTGGTGTGAATAATTCAGAACGCATTGAGAGGGAGAATGAGAGGGTTTAATGCGAGCCACAGGCTGAGAATGTGTGTGTGTGTGTGTAGAGTTCCCCTACATCGTTGTGGTCGGGTCATCTGTCCCACATCTCTGCCCCCTCAGGTAGAGGGATGGTCGGCATCAGGCCACAGGCTAAGTTCTGTCACAACCTGTCCTGACATGTTCAGCAACTCGGCGACAGGACTTAACGGCATGTATCAGATAACACACTGATCCTGTGCTCTAGCATATCTGCCTGAATCGCTCACATCAGTGTATTCATCACCTGAGAACTCAAACACAGCGCATCAGTATGCGTCAGTGGTAAGCGATAACTCCCTTCCCTCACTCAGGGCCTCGAGGAACAAGGGGCTTGTGCGTATCTACTGCAAACTAGATGCAAATCTTCAGCATGTCGTCTCATGCACATCCGTGCTTTGAGTCAGAGGAGACAGCTATTTAAAACAGTCGGCGACTGTTTCTCCTCCTTTCATCTGCATCATCTTCTCGTCTCCCACTGGATCTGCCCTCGATTCGTCTTATGAAAACGTTCGTGGCGGCGCAATGTGTGTATTCTGGCTCTCCAGGCAGGAAGAGCCTGGGATTACGCAAGTATTTGTGAAGCGTGATGGCTCTTCACACATCAGCGTGGCATGCGGTGTGTTACCGGTCCCGGATGAAGCAGGCTGGTCTAAACGGAGAGGGGAGGGGCAGGTGTGAGGAGAGAGGAAATGGCACAGGTTCCAAAACTCAGGGGATTGAATCCACCTCCAAATGCCACCCGGTGTAAAGGAACACAGCCCAAGGCCTCGGGAAAGAAAGCACACGGACCTGTGTAACATCTAAATAGAATTATAAGGTTATCAGAGCTGTGACGATGCTTGTGTGTGAGGGCTGCCGTTTCAGCGTTTCACAGAAAGGTCAAAATGCTACGTAAAAGTGAATGATTCACTGAGGCACTTTAGGTTAGATGCTTGCTCAGATACGGTCTCCTCATTTCATTAGTTATACATCAGCCACAGTCTGGCAAATGGTTAGGAAGAGGGGAAAGGGGCCTTTGGGAGGGAATCCACCTTGAATGACTCTATTGATGATGATTATTTTCATGCTGTCTGTGTTGTTTAGTACCTGAAGGAATTTTGCTGATGGTAATGGCACAAAAAAAAGCTATTTCAGGGAAATAGCGTCATAAAAACATGGCCAGACAAAGGCTGAAAAAAAGCATGTGTAAGGATTGAGACAGGGGACTTTGAAAGAGGAAAAAGTCCATGATCACAAAGCCTCCATTTACTAGAAAGTATAAAATCTGGTTCAGATACTGATTGGTTTAAAGTTGATTCATTTTTTTCCATAAAAAACCCCCCAAAAACTCCAAGCCTCGCTTTTCATGACTCTCATGATATTCATATTGCAGAACAATGGATAACTTATAAGTTTGAGACAGATTCAAACATTTATTCAACTAAAACACAAAAAGAATCAGACTACACTGGTCATGCTATTGGGAAGACACATTATAATAT